AAAAGTTACAATATCCTATCAATTTAGCCAAATATGGGTAAAGCGTCTTCCTTTCAAGAATTTCTTCTTTATTTGGAGGTTATGGAAAGCAAAACTTCCAGTGAATGAAGTTTTGGCTAATTGTGGCATAGCAGTGGTATCACTATCTACTGTCTCAATAACCCAAGAGACTATAATGGAAGATAATTTTAAATCTTGATAAAAGAAAATGAGGAATTCATTATAAATTTCTACTTAATAGAGATATTGAAATTGAGAAATAATAATAATTTAAAAAGAATGCTTAGGAGAAAGAAGGAGACAAGAGAGAATGATTTGGCATAACTAATCCTAAAATAAAAAGTTTGGGGCAGGTCATTCAATAGTTTAAATATATATATATTTGGTTCTTAAATTTTTAATTAAAAATAATAATTTAATGTCAACAAATTTTAATGAAAAAATAATTAAATAAGCTGAGTGACTTTCTATACAAAAAAGTCACAATTCAGTGATTTTTTGAGATCAAAATGAAAATTGAGTGACGTTGTGTGAAAATAATTGATAGTTGATAATTGAGTGACCATCAAAGTTATTAACTCATTAATCACATACAACAAAATCTTTCTTTTGGAGAAGTACTACCACAAAACGAAAGCTAACCTATTAAGCTCGGTCAAAATTACCTACGTAAAATGGTGGATGGTATGGGCATACAACAAACTAGGGTATAAGACATAAGTATCTTCTAGACTATGATCGAAATCTCAAAGACATGCCTTAATTAAGTTAATTCTATAATAATTAACTCCTCCCCCCCCCCCTCCCCCTTCCCCCCTCCTCAAACTTTTTTTAAAAATATAATTTTGTATATGTCTTGGCTTATGTGGCACACTTCGTGACTCCACGCAGTTGAGACGCATGAGAGATATTTAGATGCCATATAAGCCTAAATACAAAATTACAAAAAAAAAATAAAAAAAGTTTGAGTAAGAAAAGATAATAGAACTTTAATTTAGTAAGGAATGTGAATCTTAACATTTCGATGATATTCTAGGAGTACTTCTACAGCTACTCCTCTATAGCTTATCCTTACGATTACAAGAAGCGCCAACTAGAAAACAATAGCTAAAAAGTGTTTCGTCTTTGGCATTTTTTTTAAGAGATATGGGCTTTACCATATGTTTAAAATAAGTAGATTAAAAGGTGTAAATAATTTTATAATTATTTATGGAAAACTAGCAAATATATAAATAATTTAAAATTTTAGGTGTATGATTTATCAGTTTGATTTAATTTTTTATAAAATTGATTAAAATTAAATTAAATTTTATTTATTTTTAAAATTTAAAATCAAACCAAACAAATTATCATATTTTAGATCGATTTGATTCGATTTTTTAATTTGATTTGATTTAATTTTTCACATGAACAGTCCTACTTCTACATATGAGTATATCCATCCACAACCAAGATCTGTGTAGTAGATAGGATAAGAAAGTTCATCTAGGAATTTCACATAATTAAGTAAAACAAGGAATATTCATGGTGGATTTTTCCAAAGATCATATCCTCCAATTTCTTGAACCAAAATATTCTTATAAATTAAATCAAACTTTATCTTATTCCATACATATTATATATGTTCATAAATGAAGTGGTAAGGTTGGTTAAACTGTCCACTTAATGTATTTAAAGTTTGTTTAAACTAACTTAGATGCTTCCACCGAAAGATCTAAAAAGAAGATAACCGTCAACGTTACCAATTATTTCCTCAATGGAATATATGCCTCTCCATATAATTTGTTATTTTATAAATATTTTTAGTGAACATTTCAAAATTTTAAATACTAGAAAAAGGGTATTTGAGCCTAATTTTATTATTTGAGAATTTTAAAAAAAATTAAAATTAGCTGAAATATTTATATTTTATAAAAATACCAAATAATAGTTTTTGGACTAGATTTGAGTCTTAGTTCATTATATAAAATCTGTACAGTTATATACATATATAATATCATTTTTATTCGGATTTGCTCGGAATTCACTTCTACATATAAATAGTAACAGTGGTTTCTAGTATACAAATGAATGGTGTTTTCTTTTTTTTTCTTACTCTTTTTTTTTCTTTTCATATTCATATCAATTGTGTTTTATCCAATACTTTTCACGGAAAATAATCATTATAAAATAATAATTCATACTTACTAATATTTTAATAATTTTTAAATCAGATTTCTTTATAAAGTCAATTTTTTTAAAAAAATATATAGTTAAGCACATGATAAAACTTCATTCAAAAAATAACTTACCAAAAATACTTAAGTATCTACAAACAAACGCTAACTAAATCTCTATAGTCCTCTCATTAATTTCCTAACTAAATCTCTAACCATAGACATGACAAACAATATAGTCCTCTCATTAATTTCCTAATAATTGATCACAATAATGTTCAATTTTGTCCTTTCCTTTATTATTCAGTATAGGTTTCCAATTGTTTTGCTTTTTCCTTAAGAAGAGTGACCAAACACTAGTCTAAAGAGAATCTCCTATGGTTATACCATCTCCTTTGCTTAACTTCATTTTTTAATTTTGAAAAATTCCTTTCCTATATCATTTTGATTGGAGAAACCGTGGTATTAAATTATTCAGCTAAAGTAATAGGAACTAATACACTTTATCCTAAAGTTGAAGGACCAAAAGTGCAATTTAGAAAAAAAAATGTTCCAAGAGTCTTGGCCAGCCTTGTATTTAAAGGACATTGTCCTCAATAAACATCACCACAAAGTTTCTTCATAAACATCTACACTACTTCTTCTCTTCCCAAAACAGGAGTATCAAAATGGCACGACAAAGAGATCTTGCTCAAATAGGGTCAGAAGGTTTTGCTCTTATTGATGAATACTTGAGGATCAATAAACCTCCCACCACCGTGCCCTACAATACCGGTACCACATTCCGTGGGACACAACAGAGCTGAAACTATCGCTACAATATTTCACCGGGATCTCGTGTTTTTGGGATAAAAACTCCCTCGACTAGAAGAGAAGCTATGGTCACTACTCCAAATCCAATGGTGGCTTTAAATAGCTACGAGGCGGCTCAGTTGCATGATGGTATATATCTCGCCAATTATTCTAACACACGCCAAATGCGCATGTCTCGCTAGTTCTATGTAGAAAATTTAGTTAACTACGCATGCATGTAGTAGTGGTTTTGCTTTTAGTATAAATTTGTTGCAAAATTATGCATGATTATATGTGTTGTATTCTCAATGTAATATAAAAGCACTCCTTCTATATGTATCTATATAACCTTATATACATATATACTAATTACCTACCTGCATAAATATATTTTTCTCTTGTCCCGATTTAAATTTTTTCTTCTTCTCAGTCTCACAAAAAAATGACATAATTCAATATTAATATATCTTATCAAACTCGGATATTACTTATTTGACAAAAAAGTCTACAAGGATTGATTAAAAACTCCCTCTTTTTCTAACGTTATGAACGAACACGCCCCATCTGGATATAGTTGAAGAATTCTCACAGATAAGTGAAGAATCAAAGATTCTATTGATAAATGAATGATTGAGTAAAATACTCCTTGTATAGGAGAAGAGTCCTATACTAGCTACACTAGGATTCCTAATACAACACAAATATATTATGTACACCTTATCCCAGTCGACTGAATCAGCTTTAGTCGTACAAAGTATAGACTTATACATAAATTAGGATTGAATAGTCTAGTCCTAGTGTAACTCAAACTCGAACTCGATCGTCAGACAGCTTCACTGAACCTATTCTTTTGACCTGTTCCATCAGCTTCCTTCAACACTTCCCCTCAAGCTAGTGATTGAAGGAACTGTAACTCCTAGCTTGCGACGAAACTCAGCAAAAACCTATTTGGTTAATGCTTTTGTATGAGTATCTGCTAGCTGATCCTTAGACCTCACAAATTGAGTGACGAATTGTTCTCTAGCCACCTTCTCATGAACAAAATGATAGTCCATTTCAACATATTCAGTTCTAGCATGCATAACTGGATTAATTGTCATATACAAACCACTCATTTTGTCACAATAAAATGTAAATACATATTGAAGAAACACCCAAAGATCATGAAGTAGATACATAATCCATGTCATCTTTTAAGCAGTAGAGGCAAGTGCTCTATACTCAGCTTCAACACTTGAACGAGCGACTGTGTGGATTGTTTCTTGGAGGTCCAAGAAATACAGTTTGCACCTAGGTGGATGTTATATCCTGTAGTTGATCTCCGAGTGGTGGTACAACCTCCCCAATCAACATCAGAGTACCCATACAACCTACATGGTGATTGTGAAATAAGTCTAAGTCCAAAGTGCTGAGTGTCTTTGATGTACATGAGAATTCTTTTACCCCTTGAAGATGTGCACTGTTCGGATTTTGCCTAAATTGGCTTTGCTAAATTCACAATATGAGTAATATCTAGTCTTGTGAGAGTCAAGTATTGAAGACTCCATACTATTATTCTGTAAATAGATGCTTCAACCAGGCTTCCCACAGCTTCATGTAGACCATGTTTTGAGCCAAAGGAGTGTTTATAGACTTTGTAAAAGTCATTTCATTCTTGTCTAGCAGCTGAACAACATACATACTCTAGCTTAAGTGGATGCCCCCTTAAAATACTTAACCTCAAGTTCAAGAAAAAAGTGTAAATGGCCAAGATCTTTCATGGAGAATCCTTCCCAAGTTGTTGAACCAACTCTGAGACATGAGATGGATTACTTCCTGTGACAATAATATCATCCACATATAACAAGAGAAATATTTTGCCTTTGTGAGTTTGCAAAGTAAATAAGGAAGGGTCAGTCTTTCTACAAATAAAATCAAGGTGTAAGAGATGCATGATAAACTTATCAAAATCGGGATCTTGGTGCTTGTTTAAGACCATAAAACGCCTTTTTAAGTAGATATACATACTGAGGATACTAGGATACTAGGGATCAATAAAACCATCAGGTTGACTCATGTACACCTACTCTTGTAAGAAGTAATGGAGAAAGACATTTGTGACATCGAGTTATCTAACTTCCCACTTTGAACTGAGACACCAATGTATATAACCACCCTAATAGTTGTTGCTTTAACCACAAGACTGAATATTTCTCCAAAGTCTAACCTTTTAAACTGCGAGAATCCCCTTGCCACAAGTCTGGCCTTGTATCTATCTACTATTCCATCAACTTTTAGTTTTGTCTTGAATACGCATTTTGATCCAAACAAGTTCATACCAGGAGATTGGGGTACCAAAATCCATGTCTTGTTAGTATGTAAAACATCAATCACTTCCTGCATTGCTGCAAGCCAATGAGGTGATTTTAGTTCTTCCTTAGTAGTATTTGGTTCTCTCACAATTTTTGTGCTGCTACGAGCAACAAGTGACAATTGTTGTTCCTTCGCCTTGTTCTTGGTGATCACATGATGCCCTTGTGGTGAAGGAAGTACCTCAACTGGAACATCAATCAAGGTAGAGGAATGGAGTGTAGCATCATCAAGTTGATGGTCAACTGGTACATCAACTAAAGTGGTTGTTTGATGATGATCATTGACTTAACCTGTAAGAGCAACATGTTCTTCACTGCTACTGGCAGATTTAAAATCTGCAGCTGAATCGTCAATACTACTATATAGATCATCAACCATAATCTATTCCTCAACATCTGATCATGCGCCTGAGAGGTCAATAATACTCTCATAATCAATGAGTACATGAGGTGTAGCACCATTATCACTAGTAATGTGAGCTAGCATCCTGTACTTCCCCTGAATCATAATTATCATGTGCCTATAGTTAAGAGAAAGATTCAACAAAAGTAGCAAGTGGTGAGACATCAATGTTAGTCTGAGATTACTTTGGATACACATAGGGTAATGTGTTTTCATCAAACACAACATGTCTGGATATGTAAACCCTCCTTGTAGAGGGATGATAACATCTATATTCTTTGTGTATGCTGTTATACCCAATGAAAACACAAGGATATGTCTTTGGACTGAATTTATTGTTATCCTTGATATATGGAAAACATATACACCCGAAGACTTTTAGACTGTTGTAATCAGGTTGTTCCCCATACAAATTAACAAATGGAGTCACCATTTTTAGGACTGATGAAGGCAATCTATCGATGAGAATACTGCAGTGAGCAAAGCTTCAACCCATAAAAACAAAGGTAGATTAGCATGAAATAGTAAAGTTAAGTCAGTCTCCATAATATGCCTATGTTTTCTCTCTGCAACTCCATTTTGTTCAGGTGTGTTAGGACATGAAATATATCTCAGAATGCCATGATCTTTCAAATGCTTAATGAAGTCTGTTTGGATAAACTCACCACCTCCATCACATTGAAAAAATCTTCATCTCTGTAGGAAATTGTTTTTCCGCCATTTTCTGAAATTTTAGAAAGACCTGAAAGAATTTAGACTTTTTTTTCAAGGGATAAATCTATGTATATCTTGTGTGATCATCAACAAAAATGACATAGTATTTCATATGTTAGGAAGATTCGACAGGAGCAGGTCCCCATAAGTCACAATGGATTTTCAATAAAGGTTCTTTCTCAAACCAAAAGGAAATTTACAACTCTTTCATAACTAAAAACTAGAACAAACATTAGACATTTTATTTCAACTACTAACATTGATGCAACTATTACTATTCAAAAACTTTAAAGACTTCACACTAGGATGTCCTAATCTAGTATGTCACATGTTGTCTGACGTGTTCCAATCATGTGCAGCAGTTAAAGCATAGAGATTGTTATCTTCCAAAGCATAGAGTACATTCCTTTTAGTTCCCTTGGCCAGTAGTGTCCTTATATTCTTATCCTTTACAACAAAGTTATTTTCATCAAATTCAAGAGTGCAACAGTTATCCTTTGCAAGCTTACTAACTAAGAGTAAACTCTTATTAATCTTAGTGACTCAAAGAACTTTCTTTAATTTTAGACCTGATCTGGATGTGTTCCCAACATATGTTATGTCTAACTTTGATTCATTCCTAATAATAATTTTATCTGGTCCATTATAGTGTTTAAGATCAGTTAGGATACCTAAGTTATGTGTCATATGACTACTTGCTGCTGAGTCCAAATACAAGGGTGTCATCAGTGTTTTGAAGATTAGTAGCAGTCAATACTTGTGGTAGCTCAGTTGTAGCTTGGTAAAAGTAATGCCACCTTTAAAAAAACTTAAGAGTAGTATGGTTATTCCAACCACAAAATTGACACGCATCATAATTATTCCTTTCATGACTTCCACTTGAAGGACTGTTTTGAGGACCAGGTCCGTTTTTGCTGTTATAAGAACCTGTTCCCTGTCCAGCAGGCTTAAAGTCTCTTCCTCTGTAATTAATTGTTTGTTTGTAGGGATAATGCATAAGTAACTCTTAGACTATGACCGGAATTTCACAGACAAATCAAAACTTAACTAGAGTCCTATAACCCCCTAAACCAATTAAAAATGGAATAAATACACCACAAAGGCCGAATATCATAGAGAGTGTGCACACTCTAGATAAGTAATTGGTGCACAAATTAGACACATGTCATATTTTTATTGGGAACTTTATAACTATTAATTTAAAACCCACCTAAATAACATAATACCCGGTCCAAATAGAACCCGAATTTGGTAGCTCATGTTTTCTGCTTTGGGAATTCAACTTGCACTTGCGAGTGTCCTTTGTTATTGCATAGCAATAATCAATGCATTTCTCTTGTTAGTGCAGTAAGCTCATTTTTTAGAAAAGAATTGAACTTCCCAAATTATCTTATAGTTTAACTCTGTAATTGTTCCTCTCACTTTTTGCTTCACAAACATTATGAAGCAAGTTCTTCCTTTGCATCCGTCACAATAAGACTAGTGTTTTGCGGAATTTGAGATAATACGAGAAAATATAAAACGCGAAAAACAAAACAACAGATTTACGTGGTTCACCAATAAATTGGCTACGTCCACGGGAAGAGAGGGAGCAGTTTTATTATGGAGAGGCAAAAACAGAATTACAGAATAGGGTTTGACATAGCGTCTATATATAGTGCTAAGCTACGCCCTAAAAGACTTGGGCCCAACATACAGAATCAACAGAAAATTAAGGGCCCAATACAACAACATTGTATACCGTCGGCCCGGGGGCGTCTCCGCCCCCCGGACCCCCAGGCCAGGGGGCGCGTCGCCCCCCTGGACCCCCCGACTCGCTGACCGGTCAGCGAGACCCCCGTCCTTTCTGTTTGTAGCGGGTCCGATTCAAGGCATTCAACAACTAGAAAGGTGAGTAGTTAAATAAATCCAGATATTTCCTTGTGTCCATTGGTAGATGTCAAATCAACTGAGTTTCTACCCAAAGGAAATCAAGGAGATGCATCTAAAGAGACGAGACTAACAACGAAAATACACGAAGAATATGAGGGTTTTGGTTTTTATATGGACCGGGTATTATGTTATTTAGGTGGGTTTTAAATTAATATGGATGGATTTTTTGATCATGGGTAAATATTTTAGATTGTGACATGTGTCCCGCTGTTAGTAAAAAGGGTATATACGCACCAAAATTTGAACGGTAAGGGCATCAACTTCCTAAAAGTATAAAGAAGGGTATTTGCATACCACTTACAATAGTACGAGGGTCTATTTATCTTTTTTTTTCCCTATATATTATAATTACCATCAGAGGCAGCTCTACAATTTTGAGGTCGAGGGTGCCACAACGTTTAAGTAAGATAAAAGGACTCGTTGCTTTAATTTTTTTGTTACAATTCAGGTTATTAATTTTTTTTATTTTCATACATAAATCGATTAAATATGCATGTAGTAATATTTTCTTTTAGATATTTTGTGATTAGAGATAACTAAAAAATTCAATTTTATTTCCTTTTTGGAACTAGATATCTTATTCGTTAAAACTTTGAGGGAAAAAATAATTTTTCACATTAAATTTGAGGTTGCATAAACCATCTAATAGTATTAACATAAATATTCTCTTCCATTGACGTTTTGTGTTGTTATTAATAAGATATTATTAATTAGTGAAGGACAAAGTAAATAAAAAAACTAAAAATTAATTTCATGAACATTCTACCCAACTCAGGGTTTATCCCATCATTATTTCAAGTGAAAACCTTTCCCTCAGAGTGGCACCCTAGATTCTAAGGCTTAAGAATAAAAATATAAGTTAGGGGAGTAATTCTCTTATAATTGGTGGAAAATCGAGTAAAATTACCCTAAATCGCTCATTCTTTCTCAAGAATGTAGTTACAAAAATCAAAGTTTTTGGGATTTCTTTGTAAAAAAAAACTCGATTAACACTGCTATAGTGACAACACCATATTGTCCCTTACTATATAGAGGGAACTAATTTACCGTGCTGTAGCGACTTAGACCTGATAGAAACTCGAAATTCTCTCAAAAAATCTTCTTTCCATAACACACCTTCGAGCCTTGACATTCTGTACTAAATTATTGATCCCTTCATGTCAAGTCCAATATCAGAAGTTTAACATACCTGAATTCACTTTCGAAAGACCCTATGAATTCCTTAATATCTTAACTCTTAGCTACTAGAAAACATGATTCGGGCTTAGGCCTACCACCAAATCTATCTCCGAATTTCCCTAGAACTCCAATCATCTAAGATTGAGCTAGCCTAAAATTTTCAATTAACTATCCGAAAAAATGTTTTCTGATCCAAATCTTTTGTAACCCTAAAAAATTTCTACATTAAGTCCAAAATCATTCTTCATTTTAGTGTAATCTCATATTTTGGGTGGTTCTTATATTGTTCTTAGGTGGTAAGGTCATTTCTTTAGTGATGAATAGATTTGTATATGAATTAGCGGAAGTGCTCGACAAATTAAAAAAACTAAAGTTAGTCAAAAAAATAACTTTAAATAAATAAGAAATTGTTTGAAAAGGTCAAAATGACTTAAAATAAGTTTAAAATGACTTAAAATAAGTCAAAAATGTGTTGGGAAAGGCAAGCACAAAATAGATATGTGCACGACAAAGGCGATATCGGAAGAAATCCAAGTCAACTTTCCCTTCTATTGGAACCAAGAGAATAAAAAATAATGCAAGAATAAATAGTTTGGACAGCAAACTAGCCAACCACGCAAGAAAAATAAATCAACACAAGAGAGCCAACTTCGGTGTGAAGAGTAAAAACCACAAGACCAAAGCTCCACAATAATCAACAAGAGTTACAAAAGTGTCCTTAAAAATGCTCACCAACAATGTGTCAAACAATGAGCAACACAACTACAAGATAGCACCAAAACTAGAGAAACAAAAGGAGCTAAAATACCCTAATCGCAGCTACTGTTCACGAGCTAAAATCTGAAGCTACTGGACTCCAAATCACCCTCTCTCAGTTCCCAATCAGAGATTAAGTTTATAGGAACACGTAGTCCAAAAATTAGCTCAATCGGACAAGAAACGAAGTGAGAATCGCGATTTGAAATTGGTTGTTATGGCTTGTGCAAAAATCTGCACTTTCTCACTTTTCTCTATAATTGGTTGCTCTCTAAACTCTTGTGATTCTACCAAAATAAGAATTAAAATGAAGTATTGCATATGCACCATAATATTGGACTTTTGGACAAAAATGAGCTTGTCAAATTTAGGCTAATTTTATCCACAAAGGAAAT